AAAAAAAACAACTTAATCGTATTTCTACAGGTTTTGAATGCTGTGTTTAAGAAAGGTCTGTTTGTTTCTAATAAAGTGTCATCTGGAAAAATATAATTATCTGCGTCGGATCTCTCTTAGATTAAAATATGTGCTATTAGATATTCTTTATCTTCTCAATTATATTTAAATATTCTTAAATACTCCTACAAAGTATTAGTTTCGGGTTCAAAACATATTGAGTTTAGTTATTGTACTTCTCTATATTTCAAAAAAAACTATGACTGTTTGGAAATACGAGCATAAATCTAAAACCTGATGTGTAATCTTGCAAAAATTATTCCAGGACTACTTCTAGAAATAGTAGTCGTAGTTCTGACACACGGATATAGAGGAATGCTGATTTTATAGACGAGTCAAAATCATTCATGCACATTTTTATTACAATACGTTTTGCGAGATATTCTCTATCAGAACAAGTTATTCCTATCTAAAAATAAATGCATACAATGAATTAGTATCAAATAAACGTCCTTGATATGATCTATTCACAGAATGACTATTTTGAAAAAAAATGGTGGAATTAAAAGGAAGAAAAAATATCAAACATCTTTGTACCAAGTCTTTCTTGCGATCCGTTATAATTCAAATGACACCGTAGTTCTATTCTGCAAGAAAACTAATTGTTTCAATTTTCACATTTTTAAGCACGGTTAGATGTGCCGAATGTTTCATTTTAGCTACAGCATTTCAGATACTATAGAAATGTGTTTAACCCCATAAAATATATATAGTGTTGTACGTGGGTGTCAGTGTGGCTATGTGGATGAGAGTTTGGAGTGATGGTGTTGATGAAGAGAAGAACCACATCCTAAGAGAATCTGATTCTACGATCATTGAGAACATCGGTCCTCCATTGATTAAATGTCTTTCATATGATCGAAAAATTCCAGACCGAGTCGCTGTTTTATCAAACTATTGCAATTAGAGATCTAAAGATTCTGCTCGCTCCATCGTTATCAAGAATTTCTTAAGAAAATCGTTGTAGAATAAGAAATGTCACATAATTTTTGTCTGTTCATATCGAAACTACTTGTGCACTATTCAGAAATCAATTCTATTTACTGTGAGCATTTGGCTAATGAAATGATGAATTCTAAGAGAGACTTCAGTGCAACTATTCTGCATTGCAATTTTCAAATTTTTGCTAATATACTCTAAACAACAATCGAAAATGAGTCCGACTTATTTACTGGAAATAATCGTTCTTTCATAAAATCAAATATATTTTGAATAATCATATTTTAAAGAAAGAATCAAGAAAGAGTTTAATGTTTAGTAGAAATGAACAGTTAATAAGCAAAAAATTCAACGAAATACTAATTCGATCATATGATTCATAGAGAGTACCTTTGGCAATAAACTTCGGAGACTTTAGTGGGCCGGTTAAATGACGAAAATACTCTCGCCCGAGTGTATTATTACTCGCCCATCGTTAGTCATTTGAGCCATATTGAGCAATATTGAGATAACTTGTGATGACAGGTTATTGTTTCCTGAAGCCGTATTGAAATCCAAGAAAAATGAGGCGAAAGCCTATTCGAGTTTGTCATTTCCCTTGACACCTGTTAGATCAAACGTAACGTCAACAACACGACAATCGAATGGAATGTTTACATCATGAAGATCTCACTCCATATCACTCGTACCGACAGTATGCACTGAGTGAGGAGCCAAGATGCGCCCAGGCGCGCCGAACTTGTCATCGACATGTGTTATGATCAGTCGATTAGAGACGGACCGAAGTCGAGATCGAAGCTGGCAAATCACATCATCACGAGAGGGTGGATGGTACAGTGAATGAAAAACTAAAATAATATCAAAACGACCATCGTTGTTGTTCTCTTCCAGCAAATAAGATTCGACTTTTGTTCGATGAATATTCCATGCGGTGATAAAGCCTAATGAAGAGCGTAAGTTCACTTCAAGCTCTTCAGCCATTTCGAGGCTAGGCTCAACCGCCGTCAAGTGAGCTATTTGATGGGACGCAAGTACCATCAGCTCGGTTTCTCCTATAAAGCTCGTTCAAAAATGACGAACTCAACAGAAATTGATGGACTCAGCAATCATTGGCATACTAGAAAAAATGAAGGACACAGGAGTTGCTGACAGAAAAGATTTTCCAAGGTGGAAATATTCTCATTTTCTATCTTTTCACGTAACGAGTGCATATACTCGTAAATAAAAACGCATTAATTATTAAGTTTTACTGCTACACATCCACGATGAATTAACTACTGGTTATGGCCAAGGTTACGTTTCATATTATACAGTTGCCCACTGAGTTCATTAATTTTCAAATGGACGAGAATCGTGGAAAACTGATTCTCGCAGTAGTTATTCAATAACCACCCTTTCTCAACAAAATATTGATGCTGTTACAGATCCGGCAAATGATGATCCAAATATCAGCATTAACTATATTGCTACTATCTTAGACATATCACATGACAGCATAGATGCTATTCTGAAGCAAAATCTTAGCTTCAGAAAGATATC